GAGATCTCTCTCTCTCTCTCTATATATATATATATATATACACACACACATATAATATAGATATACACATACACATTAATGGCATTTCATTTTAATCATGGAAAAATATGGGTTTTGGGTTACTTTTTTTTAATCCAAAAATTGCAGGGGGGTTATCAGAGAAAACCAGGATCCCTGCTTATTAGTCTATAAAATGCAAATCTGTCTTGCTTCCTACACCCCCCCAGGCCAGAAGTGATGGTTTCTGACGCAACTACCCATAACAGAGACATTCCCAGCTCCTCATCTTCTTGGTCTGAACCTTTCTAGCCTCACTGCCTTTTAGGGATCCGGTAAGAGCCGCGGGCTGCCAGAAGGCCCAGGGGATTGTGCGGCTGCCCGCGTTGCAGATCCGTCTCTTGGAGGCCGGGCACTGCAGCCGTAGCCTTGGGCGGTGCTGAACGGACAGCTCCACGCTCCTACCGGGGCTGTCCTGCTGAGCTCTTGCTTCTGCCAGTAGACTGACTTCATCAGAGCGTATTGATTAGGTACACAAATGGCTGAGAGTGTATATCCCTAAAAGCAGAGGGATTTTCTCCCCTTCCCTTTATAATCCTATTGTTTTCTTCACTCTGCTTTGCTGGATGAGGTTATTCCAACAGGAAAGATTGATTAGTTCTTCACTTAGTAGCAAGAGACGAGCTGCAGATCACAGCTCTTCCAGTTTTTTCCCCCGTGGCTCCCCCACAGCTTGCCACATCTTCCAAAGCCAAAAGCCTCCTGCTCCTCTCCTTTGACCCGTGTGTCTGGATTCTCTTAATTGCATCTGACGGCTGGCGCCAGGGTGGAGCTGCAGAGTCTCAAGTGCCAGGAGATGTACATGCACCACTTTCCCAGCTCATTAGGCTTCTGGCAGCAGCTCAGCTAACTGATGTCCCTTTGTCCTCTCACTCCCTTTCATTTTAATTGACAGAAAGGGATGGCGGTTTTGCTGTGCAGAAGGCAGAGCAGGGAAGGCAAGACCCACATGGAATTCATGCAGCTGGTGGAAAATGAAATTAGTGGGACAGACCTTGGAGAAAGGGAGAATTGTGCCTTGCAATAATCTAAAAGGAGAGACCTAGAAATTAGTTCCACGGTGAGATAGTTCAGCTCAGAAAACCAGACACAAAGCAACAAGGGTCACCAGGCAATGGCATGAACCAGGTTTCTCTCTTTAATTCCCTTCTGCTGCAGCCAGTGCCAGGGTTAGATATCAAAGTAAAGACCTCATGATCCAGTTCATTTCTGTTAATAATGAGTTCTCTGACTGTAATCCAGTAGGTCCTCTCTTTGTGTTCTTTGGTAGGACTAGGATACAACAGCTATGCAGTGCCAGTGCTTTATGGCTGCTAAAACACTGCCTCAGTGGGGTTTAGAAAAAGTGCTCAGACTCATTGCAACATGGTACCTCAAGCAGAAGTCTGCAGGCCTGAATTTACGGGCGACAAAGCAATGCAAAAGGAAGGAAGTGGGAAAAGACAAAGCTACAGTGGTACCTATGACCCTGCAGTCACAGGCACTGGCCCTCTGGGATATGCTTATCTGATCCTTGTGGATGATCCTGGCTCAAACTGCCAGAAAAAGGGGAAGAAGATGCCTGCTAATAGGTTGGGGGCAAATTCCTCCCAGTACCACTTCCACAATGACTAGCCTCACCTGAAGCATTAGAGCCACCAGAACTGCTCCCCATGCCTGCATCTTCAAGGCACGGGGAATCCCAAGTGCCCTTTGAAAGAGGTCTGGCTAATTCATTTTCTCTGTTCTTCCCGGGTAGAGAGATCATGGATCAGCCAAAAGGACAGAGGGTCACTTGAAAGGATAAACATCCTTTGTGATAAAGAACTTGATTTCCACAAGTGCATTGTCTTTCATTTTCTTTTGCACGCATCTTGTCTTGCTGCCAACCATGTATCGGTGGAGTTGCACAGCCTCTATGAAATGAGGTGGCTCCACAGCTCAGTGGTTCTCTAGTGTGGTCTTCAGATTACCAGTGCCCCACGAAGCACTTTTGGGTAGTTCACCAAAGCTGTGTCCTCCAACTGGCAACAAGCAGTGATGCTCACAGCCAGCTTTAGCTCAGTACACAGTTCTCAAAGGGTTTCCAAAGGCCCTTTTGATGAACTACATTGAAGTAAAAGCCAGTATCTCTCTGCACCTTGCATTGCTGCTGCAATTCATTCCTTTTTGAGGTACATTTCTCAGTGGTCAGATATGTATGTGATATCAACATTGAAGAGGGAACCCAGTGGCAAAGTTACTAGGAAAGATGTAAACGGTGAGGGTTGTGGGGTAAGAAGAAGAGAACTGGTGTTAATAAATACAAAGTCCTGCACCAGGGGAAAGAATTCAACAAACAGGTACAAAATATCCCCAAGGTGCTGATGGGGGTGTATGCACTTTTTGTTTTCTTGGCATTGTCCTAATGCTTGTGCTGTCTTTTTAAATGCTACCATTGCCACTGGGAGGTGGAAGTCCAAGCTGGGGAGTCTGGAAATGGAAGAGTCCAGGAAGGGACGTGGTCCAGAGCATGAGAGGGTTTGACTTGCATTCCTTAGCTCTGCGGTTCCTCTAAAATTGTGTCTAGACCAATGTACAATGATGCCCTTCCATGTGCCTTTTCACAGCCTAGAGTGTTGTGGCTAATTCAGCAGAACGAAGGGGATGAGCATTTCTGTAGGAGAAACCCTTATCCTTGACACTTTGCAGAAGCTTGACATGCCAGTCAACAGTGGGGCTGTGCCAGAAGGCTGAAGGAGAATCACACAGGCATATCTGCAGCTATTATAACTCTGCAGAGAGCTGCAGGTTAATTGCTGCTCGCTCACTAGGGTATGGCAGAGGACACTGCAGCTGATGCACACTGCTCCTGATAGGAACGCTAGAAGTTTTGGGTTGGGCTTCAGCCTTTTTTGTTAATACAATGAAACCTCCAAGAGGAGGTGACTTTTTTCTCTTGGAAAAGTTGGCGGGTGGGGGGGTTCGTTATTCTTTTGGCTCCTACTACCTGATGAGCTGATCGGCATATTAACAGCATTGTCCCATGGTCAGAGCAGGGAACTAGGTATCAGGGTGCCTGGGTTCTGTTCCCGAGCGTGCTACTAACTTACAGCCAAATCATGGGTAAGATGCTTGTACTTTTGGGGGTTCAGTTCCCAAGCTGTAACATGGAAGTGATTCTTTACCAAACAGTGATGCTGGCAGCAGGAGTTGCTTTAAAACAGGAGAGGGTGTGTATAAGTACTGTTGTATCTATCAGGCGCACTTTTAGCCCATTTCCTTTAAAAGGAGGGGTGGTTTAAACTCAGAAAATGTGGGTGAGAACTGCCCCGGATAACCTGCATGTTCTGTTCTCATTGGGGCAGTGGCTCGATGTGCTCAGTGCTGCTGAGGACGGCTACAGCTGTAGGCATCTGTCATAACAATGGCCAACAAATCCCAGCAGCAGCGGCAGCCCCAGGGCTGTTCCTGGAAAGGATGGTGCATCCCAGTATCCTTCACAGAAGCTGCGAGGGGCTGTTCTTAGACCCATAGAATTGTAGAAAATTCAGGTGTGAAGGGAGCTCAGGAGGTCACATCTAGTCCAACCCCTGCTCTGAGCAGGACCAGCCCCAACTAGACCAGCCAGGGCTTTGTCTAGCCAGGTTTTGAAACCCCCCAAGGATGGAGACTCCACCACCTGTCTGGGTAACCTGTTCCAGTGCTTTATTACCCTTCTAGTGAGAATTTTTTTCCTAATGTCTAACCCCAACTTCCCTTGCTACAACGTGAGCCCATTGCTCCTTGTCCTGTCATCTGCCCCCACTGAGAACAGCCCAGCTCCATCCTCTTTGCAACCTTCCTGCAGGGAGCTGAAGGCTGCTGTTAAATCCCCTGACAGTTAGTTCTTCCTCATTGCAAGCCAGTGTCAGTCTCTCCAGGAGTCCTTTCTTACCACTGAGATAAAGGAGGGTAGCAACTGCCCATTGTAGAGATTGCAGAGCATTGGAAAGTTAGAGGTGCATGAGTCTTCACATTTATCCTCCCCAGGCTGTTGGGATCCTGACTTGACAGCATGCTGAACCAGCATTATCCACACTCCTCCCACTCCTCCCAGTGTAAGGTGCCTCCATCCTGAGACCCTCTTCCCCGAGTGTCTTATGTTCGTGGGACAGGGGGGCCCTCTGCAAAGATGGAGAGAGGCAGGATGAGGGATCGGTGGATTGCTCCTATTTTTCAAAGCTGACCGTTATTGAGAACACCCCTGATCAGAGGCACATGCAGCAGCTTATCTCCCAGGGGCTACGAGCTTCATCCTTCCCATCACCCAGTCATTCCAAAGCAACATCCTTTGTATCAGCATATTGCAACAAGGACAGCTCTTAGCATCACTCAGTCTCTGGCAGGCTGAGCCCCAAGCTCTGCCCCTGGTCTGTAGCTGTAGGACGTAGAAAGAAACACGTTTGTATTTGGTTTTGCACACCCTGACAGCAACATTGAAAAGGCCTGTGCATGTATCTTGAGAGCAGCTCTGAGCAGCACCCCATTCCTTTCTTTC